CGTACGTACGCCTTAATAACCCATAAGGCGTACGTACGACTTATAAGGCGTACGTACGGGTTAGGAAAAAAAAAATCACCATGTCCCTTAAACAGCTTCGTAGCCTTATCAAACCCTACGCAAAGGCAATTTTGATCAACTGAGTGATCAAACTTATCCTAATGTTTACAAAGAAAACTGCAGACCCGCCCCCATCCCCTGTTGGGGAGAAAATCCACAATTCGTCGGTGGAGAAAAAAATAATATATAGGCCTATAAATAGGCCTAAGGCCAAGTAAAAAAAAATAATTGGTTAGCATCCTTTTGGTATCAAATTTCAGGGTAGGGAGGGAGGTTTTTTTTTTTTTTTTTTTTTTTTGTAGAACATGAAAAACCAGCGTCGGTAGGAAAATTAGCAAAACAAAGAAGAGGAAAACAACAGACGCCAAAATTGGATACAAGAAATCATGTAATTCATCTATATCAAGCAGATAAGCTTTGCCTATATGAATAACAGTCATATTTTAATCCCTATATATGAAGTTTTAAAACATGCAGAAACATGTTTACAGAACTGATGATATCGATAACAGGTTTACAAAGCATTCCATCCTAAGTGGCGAGTGTAATTGCGGTTGGATGTGAAATTAAAAATAAAAATAACAGCAAAATAAGAAGATTGAAGTTTGTCATAGTCGTATAATAATTCATTGTCCATTCATAAACAGAAACGTAATTTTTGAACTGGCATTTTGTACAATTGATTACTATTTGTGATTGTTTATGTGATTGAGTATGTACATATAGTGATAATTCTCAATAGTGAATACTGTTAATGAGTTTGACTAGTATCATGTGCTATGTTTATGCTGATAAACACTTTGACATCTAGTTGGACCAGCTGTTTGCAAACATCACGTCACTGTACCAGCATGTGAATATTCCATGCTTTGTGTTTAAGTTTGTGTTTGCTGGACATTAATTATAACTGGACCATACTGGGTTTGTTGTTGGAACAACACAACAGTCATCATTGATGCCATGCAGGGGTTTCGCCAGAAAAACAAAATAGACGGCCTACATGTATTTTGTTTTTCCAAAATGGAAGCCAGTGGGCGTGGCACTGAGCAGATGGCGGGCCACGCCCATCGTTAGTAATCCCCATCGATTATTGGTACGAAAACGTACATTCAATCAATAAATGTTGTTTTTATCAAACGTAAATATGATTTACCTTTAGTTTAATGTAACACTCGATAGATTTGAAGAATATATAAAGAATTTGCTAAAGGTAGACCAGCCCCAATTAGGCCAAGCCGTCACGGTAAAAGTTGCCGTCCTAAATAATTGTAGGCAGTCCAAAAGACGGCCGGACGGCTCGCTCGCTAATATACGCATGCACTATCTCGCCACTATATTTCAAGTAATAAATTTATCTATGCTGTCCTACCTATGAAAATTTATCTTTAAAATTTTATTTCGTGAAATATTGCACACAGGTATAGTGAACATGCCGCAGTTTTAAACTGATGGGCGCAACCATGTTTGTTGTCTTGTCTCCGGTCACCACAGAGCGGTTCTTCCTTGTTTCTCTTTCGCGCTGTGGATGTCTACTTCCAAAGTGATGGAAATACCAACGCGCTGATTAGCCGACTTGGCTTTTCTGCACAAAGCATGAGACGTGAGCATCGGATCGGAGTTTAGTTTGCTAATATAAACCTAATCCTGAGTAAATCTTAATGCTTTGCATCGGCTGTACCGTGTATACAAATACACTCTTTTTATACTACTACTATAAAACTAGGCTTTTTCTAGATAGAAGCAAGGACTAGGCTAGCCTATAGGCCTAGACAGGACGATGATGGAATGGAACTGCAGGGATAAGCCCAGTCGGCTGGCGTTCGGGCGGATGGTAAACAAGCCTAGGCCTATATAAATTGCCTTCGGGAGATGGAGTTTTTGAGTTTCTTGTAAAAAAAAAAAAAAAAAAATTCAGGTCGGGGGCTTTTCCAACGGTCGGGCGGGGATGCTAACCAATTGTTTTATTTTACGTGGTCTAATCCTTTAAACCCCTAAATTGTCAAGCTTTTCGGGGCCTCACTGGACCCGGACTTTCGCAATATTTTGAGTGACGCCCGACCACGCTAACTTTGCTTTCATTGGAGACATCTGCCCCAGCCAGAGAGCTCGGACACCGCGTTGGGCAAATCTAGGCGCCACCACTGCTCCCTGACCCCTTCCCCCTCCCACAGGCCACATTCTCCAATTCTCCCGTTTTTAGCCCACTCTCTGAGAGAGCCGAGGGCTTATATGATGATTCTGAGCGAATTTTGAAGTCAATTACTTTTCTATCTCTTCCTTCGTTTGTGACGCGATTAGGCCGATCTTGCAATAATATGGAAGATAAGGCCTGGGGAATTTAAAGTATGAAGAGTTTTTGCGAAAATATTGTCGGGAATATGGGAAAAAGTATGTTTTTATATCATACCTCCTAACACTAAGGGGGGTTTCCTATGAAAGCGTGTTCGTCATTGATCAGATTACAAATCGGCTGTATATTCCACATTGTGTTTATCAACCAATCACGGCCTGGAATGGTAACCTTTGCGGCTAATAAATGCGTCTGCACGAGTCTAGTTGGTAGCGAAGAATGTATATGTATAAATGTACATATAATGTATGTATGTATAGGCCTATGTATGTATGTGTATATTATGTGTGTATGTATATATGTGTGTATGTGTGTATGTATGCATGTATGTATATGTATATATATGTATGTATATGTATATATATGTATATGAATGTATATATATATGTGTGTATATATATATATGTGTATATTACGAAAGCCCATTAGTGCCAATAAAGTATATATTCATTAATCCGTAATAACGAATACTAATTCGTTATTACGAATTAGTAATCCGTAATAACGAATTAACTAATTCATTATTACGAATTAGTAATCCGTAATAACGAATTAACTAGTTCGTTATTACGAATTAGTAATCCGTTATTACGGATTACGGAACATATACTTTATTGGCACTAATGGGCTTTCGTAGTGTTACATTTTAGTAGAACTAAAGAAAATTAAAGAACACATTATTAAAAACAGCTAGAAATATAATTATTGTTAAAATAAAACTTTATGTATTAATACTATGGAAAAGCAATTAGAACTAAATGTTGGATACGCACAGCCCACTCAATCGCTGTTACATTTAGCAGAAATGGGAGAATTCTTTATCCCAGGATAAGAACAAAACGTCGAAATTCAATCTTCCCTTTCGCTTTGCGACAGTACAACATATAAACATGCAACTCATTTGAAACAATGCTTTTAAAATTTCCTTTGCAAACAGTTTGGCTTTGTGTAAAAAATCATCACTCTATACATTTAATAAACCTTTCAACAATCTAAACATTTTAACAATCATTTTTAAATTACATTTTGGAGCAAAATTTAAATAATTACATTTCAGAGATTAGATGGTATAATGGGCTTTTAATCATTGTATTGTTCTAATGTGCAATATGTTTTTGCCTGTGAATTATTAATATGCGTTTGACAATAACGAATATAGGCCTACATGAAGTCTTGCCATATTTATTACCATACTTACCTCAGTATCAAATTCATGCACTGTAAATGTTATCGCAGGCGCGCCATAGACACGGACCAGGTAGACACAGCTTGCTCTATTTGGATATTCACTGGGATAATTTGGTGATGTGAAATAATCAGGTGAACTGTAGTATCCTCCGCCACAATTTGAAACTTAACAATAAAAAATGGAATTACAAATTAAACATGTACAAAGTGTTTTTTTTAAATTAAATATTAACGTAGGTTCAATTCCTGTCACAGTACTATTACTGTCTCTTATACACATCTAGATGTGTATAAGAGACAGGTATATGTACGTGAAAAGATACCAATACTTATTTCCGCGTGTCTGCGTTCCTAGAAGTGTTGCCATGCAACCTTCTTGCTGTCTCTTATACACATCTAGATGTGTATAAGAGACAGGGACATAATAATACATCGTGTAGGATAGCGAATGTAGTCCTATAAATCTATATAAAATCAATAAATAGTTTTTTCTCAACTTTATCTTTTTGGAATAAAAAAAAAACATAATAATGTAAGGTCACATGACCTGCCACCATAGTTTTGGTTGGTTAAATAAATCATCATCATGTACTTCCCATGTACTGTAATGTGAAAAATCTTTATATATTTATTTATAGACTACCATTGTATTGTATGCATGTGTGAGGAATGAGGAAAGTTACTTGTCAAAAGACTTACGGTAGAACTCTTCACAATTCTGACCAACATAATTTTGTGGACACTGGCATATGTACGATCCATTACCGCCGTCACCAACACAAGGTGCATTATTTTGACATGGATTGTCAGCGACTAGACATGATGGAGGATCTAAGGGTAAAAAATGCTTTGTTTAAACCTGCATTTAACATTATAGGTACAGGAGGGCAAAGTGCGCCCCGCATGTCACATCAGGTCCAACAGTGGTTATGTTGCGGCCCCCGAAATAAATTGAAAACGATAATTTTTTTATGCCCGACACAGATCATCTGTTAAGAGTAATAGTAGAACTGAAGTTCAGATGCGGCCCTCAGTGTTAAATTAAAAGTTCTCTTTGGCCCTCCCACCAATTTTTATGCTCACTCATGTTGTAGGTCAAATAGCAGTAAGTAATAGTAGTAGTATGAATCTTTTATTCCTATCAAAAAAGTTCACCGGACACACCCAGTAAATTACATAGAAATTGGGCAGAAATTAGCATGTGGATATTCATTTGTATATTTTTTGGGCTTCTGCAAGATTTTCAGGGTGTTTTAGCTAATAGTCCAAGATGATGTGGAATGGACAAACATGTTTTTACTAGTGTAAAGTATAGCATACATACTAACTGCTATAGTGGTGATCTTGAAGGATATAGATATATAAGTTTAGATTAAAACAATTATATGTATTGTTTTTATGTTGAATTCTCATAAAAAATTTCGTTCATTCAATATGAATAAAAATAATAGGCATAGATTAATATATCAAGCAGATATATTATTATAATTCTTACCAAATCTGGTTTGTTAAAGGCTGTCTACCCAATTAGAAAATTGAATAGCTTATTTAATTACGATCAAAATCAGATGTAAGTACATTTTTTCACTGATTTACTGACGGTTATACAAAAATATATTCACTCTGCACGTGTTCTGTAATTTTGGTCATATTGTTTGTACGGTTTAGTTTATTTTTGAGGCCATTTTTCTCAAGAAGTGGTTCTTATGCACCTAAACTTTGGGTGCTCACATCTCTGGATTTACTTATAGCAGGGGAGACATTCGGGGAGCAAGTGAAAGCTTATGATGTGGTCTGCCCAGCTGTAATGTGAACTCAGTTTTTGAATTTCTAACCATGAGACTCATTTTGTGGTGAGACCTCACAAATATATACTATTTATTTAAACCAAAAAATGTATGTTGCTAAGTGTAAAATATTTCAGTTATTAGAATAACTCAGTTGTGAAGTTAGCCCTCTGTAGTTTACATTGATTCAGTTGATACTTCTTTCATTTTACTGTAACTGGAAACAAAGGGATGCCAAATAAATAAATTTTGCTGTAAAAGGTTCTACACTTTATAATGTATTAATAATTATCCCTTGTTATACGTTGAATTAATTATGCAATATTTTATACATTTTTTATAATTTGTATACTTATTCTTGTATTGTAGAAGCTATGAGGCAAGTTTAATTTTAATTATTAAGAAATAGATTGATTTGTCAATGTGTAGTGTAGTTTAAATGTTAATTTAAAAATACAAAGTTGTTAACATTTCTAATAAAACAGTAGTTTCATCAGAATGAAAAAATGAGGTTTACTGCTGAGATAAACATACAAGCAGTAAATAACAATGAAATTGGTGTTTTTTTTCCCTTTACAATTTACAATTTTGACTTTGAAATGAAATTGGTTGAGAGTTGTTTAAACGTTCTATTAAATGTGTGTAGGTATATGTGTATGTATGGGTGGGCATACATATGTGTGTGTATTTATATGTATGTATGTATATTTATATATTTAAATGTATGTATATGTATATATATATGTATATGTGTATGTATATGTATATATAT